TGGTCTCTAAAATATATGTCTAGCCCTATGTGCCCAGTACACCATGATAAAGGGTTCCTCACTGTAATAAACACACCAGCTTAGTTCGGTTTAGACCACGGATCACCATTCTGGCACATGGTTTAACCCATAAGTGCTCCGTTCTACTTCTGACTCAAGCCTGTGTCCCAAAAATCTCTTTGCAGTGCATCAACTGCGTAGCACCGGTGAGGATTCTAAAATTCTTTAGGTTGCTATTTAACTCCAAAATTTGCCATGGCTACTCTTTCTTTTTTTTTTTTTTTTTTTAACTGCCAAGGGATTTTTACATGCGCAACCAATACACACGGGCGTCCGATCTTATTACCCAGAGACCAAGGGAAATTACTAGAAGTAAGAAAAAAATCCTAGCCTTCACTGGGGCCTGAATTCGGGACCTCTAGCACCCGAGGCGGACGCCATGCCTTGAGAAAGTCTGGGCTGACTTCACATGTGGCCAAACAAGTCCCACCCACAGGATCAAGATAACAAAAGCATTATTTACCGGACTGAAACTCCTCTCACGTCTGGTGAATTCTTGAAATCATTAACTCTTGCAGTCCCAAAGTATTTTATCAAAAGTTATAACAGTGAACGAAAAGTAGATCAGGGTGCTTCACAACGAATATTTCAAAGAAGATTCAATAAGTGCAATGGCCACAATGTGAAGGGACATTAATTTATTACTGTGAAAAAAAAGACAACCTATAATATTGTGTTTAAATATGAAGCCATATTTTATTAGAACACAGACCAAATGTGAAATAAACCACCAGGCTTTACCTGGCAAACACAGCGATCACACACAGTACATTATTTGGGATATAAAGAGTTAAGAGTTGAAGAGAAATTCTACGTGTAAAGGCACCGTGAAATGTGTAAGCAATTCAGTCCAGTCCTACACATTTCTTTATTCTCTTGAACGGATCTATTAATTTACAGCGGGGCAGAATGTTTTCTTGAACCTAGACAGAGGTCGCACATATGCAGTGTACTCACACATATCCGTTTTATGGCATGCAGTCTTATTGATCTCACTGTTGGGATCGCGATCGAAAACATATTTCTCACTTTGATTTTGCTAATGCAGGCTGGTTTAAGGTTTTAATAAAGCGTTATGTTAAGCACAAAGAGAAATACAACGACTGAAAAAAATATTCATGTTTTTAGACTTCAAGTCACGCTCTTATAAAACTCACTATGTGAAAGGAATTTGAAAAAGAGGATAGAACATTTTCACTCTTCTTTCTTTCTTCTTTTTCTTCTTTTTCTTCTTCTTCTTCTTCTTCTTCTTCTTCTTCTGCTTCTTTTTCTTCTTTTTCTTCTTCTTCCTCTTCTTCTCTTCCTTTTCTTTCTCTTTTTCCTTTTCTTCTTCCTCTTCTTATTACTCTTGTTCTGCTTCTTTTTCATCTTTTTCTTCTTTATCGTCTTCCTCTTCTTCTTCTTACTGATCTTCTGCTTCTTCTTCTTATGCTTCTTCTTCTTCTTCGTTTTCTTCTTCTTCTTCTTCTTCTTCTTCTTCTTCTTCTTCTTCTTCTTCTTCTTCTTCTTCTTCTTCTTCTTCTTCTTCTTCTTCTTCTTCTTCTTCTTCTTCTGCTTCTTCTTCTTCCTTTTTTTTTCTCTTCTACCTCTTCTTCTTCCTCTTTATATTCCACTTGTTCTGCTCCTTCTTCCTTCTTTTCTTCTTTATCGTCTTCCTCTTCTTCTTCTTACTAATGAATTAATCAAGTAACAGAAAGTTTTGTGAACGGCACTCATAGAAAGAAGTAGAAAGATAGAAGAACACACTAGACAACATAAAAATTGAAGGCTATAGTTACCGTGCCGGGAATTGAACCGGTCACCTCCAGACGGCGTCTGCGCCTCGCCATGAATACAAGTGCACTAAGATACATGGTCAACTCGGCACCCCCAAAAAATCTTCTGCTTCTTTTTCTTATGCTTCTTCTTCTTCTTCGTTTTCTTATTTTTCTTCTTCTTCTTCATTTTCTTCTTTTTCTTCTTTTTCTGCTTCTTCTTCTTCTTCTGCTTCTTCTTCTTCTGCTTCTTTTTCTTCTGCTTCTTTTTCTTCTTCTTCTTCTTCTTCTTCTTCTTCTTCTTCTTCTTCTTCTTCTTCTTCTTCTTCTTCTTCTTCTTCTTCTTCTTCTTTTTCTTCTTCTTTATAGCGTTCACAGGCTGGATATTATATCGGATAGTTCTGATTGTTCGTCCACTTCTGGACTTAGGTCTTATTCTAGAACTTGACTTTTGCGTGCACTTTTGTTTCACAGGTCTCGCTTTTTTGTATGCAGCCTGTTAGTTTATCCTATCAGACAGATGCACTTCGACTGTGAAGAAAGTCTGAAGATTTGAACAACGGATCAACATCATGGCACACGTGTAGTAACCCAACACGGGCGCCCAATCTCACTATCCAGAGACCAGGGGAAATTACTAGACGTCCAAGTCCACGTGAAAAAAATCTTAGCCCTTTCCGGTGACTAAACCTGGAACCTCCAGACCTCGAGGCAGACACTATGCGTCGAGGTCACGCTACCCCCTTTCTACTTTAAAGGAAAA